GTCTTTGTCTCAAAGGTTTGATCAATTTTTTATTAACCAAAACTCGGCGAATCAAGTATTTTCCTTCCCTAACCATTCTCATCGTGCATCAAATGAAACATGTATGACTTGTTCTAGTGTTCTTCATTCTACTTCTCATTGTCCTCACGGACAAGTGCAAAGTGAACCTAATGAACAAGTCAATGCGGCGTTTGTGAACTAAGGGAACAATCCTTATGGTACTCATTATAATCCAAGTTGGAGGAATCATCTGAATTTCTCTTGGAAAAACCAAGGAGAGGGCTCAAACCCTTCCCAAGGCGGTTTTCAAGGGAAGTACATTCCACCTCCATTTCAAAACCAAGGATCCCAAGGCTATAGACCCTATTAATCACAAGGGAATCAATTTGCTAATTCTCATTTTCCCAACCAATCCTATTCCCAAGGTAATACTAGAAGTCCCGCCTTTGAAGAGAAAGTTTTGAATACTTTGGGCACTTTAGAGGCTAACACTCAATTGCTTCATTCTCAAGTAGGGTAAATAGCAAGCACTCTCAATGTAAGAGAGAAGGGAAAGATGCCTATAAATGCCCCACCTAAACAACAATGTGTTGTGGAAACCCATTCCTCATCGGAAGGCCACGCCATTGAACATGTTAATGCGGTGACTACCTGGCGAAGTGGTAGGATTGTGAACAATTAAGTTGGAGTATCTAATGAAGAGAGTGAACCGGTGCAACCTCAAGTTGTCACCCGTCCCATTTCACATCCCATTTCTCCTTCATTGCATATACATGACCTTGTAGATGAGAAAGTCTTAAAAGATGTGTTTGAAAAAGAAGTTTTGAAAAAGGATGTTGAAAAGGTTTTATTGAAAAATGATTTAAAAACTTCTTGTGTTGAAGAGAGTTCAAAAGAAAATTTTGAAAAAGTGTTTGAACCAAAGGTTCCATTTCTGGATGCCTTAAAAGGATCCATTTCAAAAGACAAGCAAAAGGTAAAAACCAATGAAATCATGAAAATGTTTAGGCAAGTGAAAGTTACTCTTCCACTATTGGATGCAATCAAGCAAATTCCGGCTTATACCAAATTCTTGAAAGACTTATGCACCCAAAAGCAGAAGAACAAGAGCTAAGCACCAAGAAAAGTGGTTTTGACCGAGCAAGTAAGCTCAATTTTGCAACATAACACTCTTCCAAAGTTTAAGGACCCCGGTTCACCCACTACATCATGCATTATTGGTGATCATATCATTAATCGGGCATTTCTTGACTTAGGAGCAAGTGTTAATCTTCTTCCATACTCAGTTTATGTCAAATTGGGCTTAGGTGAATTGAAACCGACATCGGTAGTTTTGCAACTTGCCGACCGATCCATTAAGAAGCCTAGGGGTATAATTGAGGATGTTTTGATAAGGATTGACAAATTCTTCTTCCTGGTTGATTTCGTTGTCATAGACACGGAACCGGTTCCCAATCCTAAGAGCCAAATTCCCGTTATCCTTGGCCGTCCTTTCTTAGCAACCGCTAATGCCAACATCAATTGTAGGACGGGAATAATGAAGATTTCATTTGGCCACATGAAGGTGAAGTTGAATATCTTTAATCTTTAATCCCACACCCAATTCATTTAACAAATATGAAGGAGAAGTCAATGTTGTAGATGAATGTCATGATCTTCAATGCCAAGGAAATGAGCTTTTGTGTAAAACCAAAACTTCTAAAGGATCATCTTCAACCTTGCATTCTAAAAGCCTTGTTTCAAACTCTTGCTTTGAAAGGGCATGGAAGCCCAAAAGTTGTAATTGCATAGACAAGGGACTAAAGACTTCCTTTGAGCTTAGTCCAACAAGTTCTTCAAAGAACCATTTGTTGGGTGAAGTTCAAAACATCTATCACCCCAACAAGGACGGGATGCATTATAAGATCTTTGATCCGGGCTAAAAGAGCCCAATGTCTTGCTAGAGACGTTAAAGACTAGCAAAAGCATTCGTAGGGTGTCAAAACCCTATTCCTCCCCCATTTCCATCTTTCATTTCATTTTTTGCGAAGTCTAGATACTTGTTTTTGGTTCATATGCATTTCAAGGAACTTTAGTGAGGATTGCATAAGCTTTCATGTCATTATTGAGCATTCATCAAAGTTCGATCGACCGAACTCTTCTCTATATTCAACACTTAGAAAATTTTTCGACCTGCAGAAACCTGTATCCAAATCACCTATCTGTCCCATCGTTCGAACCAACTCCAAGATCGATCAAGAGACCTTCAATCGATCCAACTTCTAAGTTCGATTGATCTCATGACTCAACACTTAGAAAATTTTGAGCTTGCATCAACCTGCATATTTCAGCTCTCTATCTGATCGTTCAAACCAACTCCAAGATCGATCAAGAGACCTTCGATCGATCCAACTTCCAAGTTCGATCGATCTCATGTTCCAACACTTAGCTAAATTTTTGAACCAAAAACCTGCATATTTTTGCTCTCTGCCTGATCGATCAAACTCTTGTTTCGATCGATCACAAATCTTCATTTCATTATTTTAACTTTAGTTTGACTTTTCAACTTTTCAAAAATCCAAAAATATTTTCATTTTTATTTTATTCTATTTTCTCTCTCATTTTATTTTGTTTTAATTTTCAACAAGTTTTCAAAAATTCAAAAATATTTTAATTTATTTAGTTTTTAATTAATTAAATTTAAAAAAAAATAAAAAAAATAAAAATAAAATAAAAACCCAAAAATCCAAAAATACTTTGAAAGGAGTTCATCAAAGTTCGATCGATCATAACTCATCTTCGATCGATCGAACTAGTCAGGAAATGTTTTTAAAAACAGATCCAAGGGTCTTGAGATCGATAATTTGGATCGATCTCACTCACCAAACCCTAGCCTCTCGTCCCTCTTCACTATGAATCATCTCTCCTAGCTCCGGCAACTCCTCCGGCGAGATCCAAGCATCTCGAATCTCAGTTCATCTCTATCCTTTTCATCTCAGTTCATTCTCCATTCTCTCACTCTCTTAAGGTAAGATCCGAGACATCCTTCCCTAGATTTGAACTCTCATACATCAATACTTGTTTCAAATGTCGTAATCATGTTGAATCTTCCATTCTCAAAGCTTTAGCATCCATGTCTATATATATATATGTGTGTGTGTATATGTGTGCATAGATTTTGAAGATTTTGTTAGATTTGGGTGTTTGGGCCACGTTTAGAGTGCATTTAGGTTTGATTTGTGTTGTTGGAGGGCCCACGAACTCATTCGTGTGGGCCCCATGCTTCAAAAGTCACAGATCTGTGACTGTTAGGTTTCATCGTCGCACTGTTCGATCGATCGAACAAATTTTTAATTGATCGAATAATTGCAATCGATCCAACCCAACCTTCGACCGATCCAACTTTTGTGATCGATCTCAATTCTTTTTCTGAGCGATCGAATTTCATAAATCTTATATACACACTTCATTCATCTTATCTTATGTTCATGCTACCTTATATATGCCCAATGCCTGTGATATTCCACATTGGATGCATTTCATACTCACATTGTTTAGCATGTTTCATATTCTGCCACTTGCATAGAATCATGCAATATTTTGTTTTGTCTATCTTATTTGACATACATGTTTCTATATTGTGCTTTATATTCTATATGTGCTGGCACTAACTTTTGAATTTCTATTTATAGATTATGACTCGCATTAAGACGGTAGCACGTAGACACCGTCACGGCTCCAGCCGCAGACTTGACGACGGGGCCGGTCCATCTCATGTCCGGGACCCTAGCCTCAAGCACACACAGAGGAGAGTCCGACAGCGGACTGGGGAAACTACACAGCCCTCTCATATAGAGGAGCCATTACACCTTACTCCACCCCAGTCGCCGGCTCATCCAGTATTCACTCCATCACCATCTCCACCGTATAGAGGCGCTGAGCAGCCAGCTCAGCCGGCTCCACCTGTTCAGCCAGCTCATCTACAGTGTGACAGGCTCACGCCTCGATATGCACACATGACTATCGAGCACGAGTCAGCATTCGACATCGCATTATTCTCCAGATCGGTGCTGACTCGATCTGCCTATCATGACATCATTCAGCGGGGCCTCTCAGTTATTCTTGCCCCAGTTACAGAGCTAATCTACCCGCGACTGGTACGATTGTTCTACCAGAACCTCCGACTGTCGCCGCGCACTACAGCCAAGCTCATCACCTCTATTGATGGCCATGAGATCACCATTACAGTGGATACTCTGGTCCGTTCGACTCGCTGTCCACATCAGTGCCTGCCTGAGCTACAGGAGACATATCCTAGGTTCCACAGGCCTTCTTACACCGATATGGCCATTTTTCTTACAGGTCACCACGCCGGTGGCGAGACCTTCGCCACCCAGACATTCTTGCCGGATGACCTGTGGTTTACAGATTCGGTGCTCTACCGAAACATATACATGGCGGGACACAAGATTCAGAGGCGAGGTGACTATCTAGCAGCCCTGTACGCCTTCTATACCGGCCACTGGGTGTCTATTCTTGCGCTTATCTGGAGCGTGATGAAGAAGCTCTACGATGAGTACGTTAGCAAGGAGGCGCCCGGAAAGGCCAAGTCTCTTTCATTCAGCCACCTTATCACCTAGATTCTCATTGACCAGCCCTATCCCATCGACCCGCAGGAGCACCCCGAGAGAGGTTCCTGTCACTTCCTCAAGAAGGACTGGGACAAGAGCTACAGAGCTATTATCACTCGCCTGTAGGTCCATGATATATGGGCGGCTGCAGAGCTAGAGTTAGAGGAGGAGGCGGCAGCACAGGCCCAGGCAGAGGCACCGACAGAGGCAACAACAGCACATCCCGCAGCGGACGACGCACTAGTCGATCTAGCTGCCGAGCATTTAGACATCGACTCAGAGCGCCCTACAGACGGTGTAGAGCAGGACTCTCCAGCCAGGTTGCCCATTCATGATCAGTAGCAGACTTAGGAGCCTTCTTTTGATTCACCTATGCCTAAGACTCCAGATATGACCCCCGGCTTTGGAGTCCGTCTGCAGACGCTCGAGGATGCTGTTGTTACCATTCGAGCTGACCTCACAGCCCACAGAGCTGAGTTTGCTGCCTTCCACACGGATGTCGCGACCATATTCAGAGATTTATCCAGAGACATTCGCGGAGCCAGACCTGCCCGTCCTACCTCATCTTCCTGAGCTCCCACTCCTTTCTATCTTATAAACCCTCTCTCCTTTTGATACTTTATTATTGTCATTGTATTTTTTTTACAGCCGGTCTGTCGACTTTGATATTTTTGTTGTACCTGCACTTTCTCTATTTTATATATCTATTTTTGCTATGGATGTCATATGATTGTATTCTCATATCTGTATGTTTGACTCCATCAGGTGCATTACAGTGACTACAGTGAGACAGTGCTACCCAATTTCTAGGACCACCCTTATACCTCTCTCATTTCGTTATTTGTTTATCCCATTTACACTTGCATGACCACTGTGCACTGATTATCCTATTTTGTTATCTGATAAGTTTATCCAAGTGCCAATTTTCAGGACCACAGTTCATCCCAAGTTTGGGGGGGCCATGCCACCCACTTCGGATACTTCAGTCTTGATCATTCTTGCTTAGTTGCACTGGTATACTCTTTCCTTTGTTCTCTTTGCACATTGAAGAACTTGTGCAATTTAAGTTTGGGGGGAATGGTGCTCTACAGTGTTAGTTTTAAATTCAAATTTTTAGCATGACTTGTGTATTTGAGGGATATTTCTATGATTGGTCGATATATAGCTATGATTTTGATCTTTTAAGGACTATATTGCTTAAAATTTAAAAATTGCTTGACTTGAGAGGCCAATATGCCTTGTGGAAGCCATTTAGGAGTAAATTTTTCGAAAGATTGATATCTTGGTTACATTTGTGGTCCACATCATCCTGATTTTGTGATTGTTTTGAGACTCACTCTAGTCTTCTACACTACCACCGACGCACACTAGCATTCATTTGTGAGGTACATGCTTTGTTAATTATTGAATTGATTATATCCCAATTGGGCTAGTAGTGCATTGAAAGCTTTCATTCTTGATAAAGGTGGATAACAACCCCTTTTCACTAAGTAGCCGGGATTCTAGCCTCATCAAGTACTGAACTTCTCGCGCCAAAAGGTGGAGGGCCCAAACTCTAGGTTAATAATTGTATTAAAAAAAAAAAAAAAAAAAAAAAAAAAAAAAAAAGAAAAGAAAAGTTGCAAAAGCAATAAAAAAGGTGAGGACTTCTCCCAAAAAGGTGAGAAGTGGGAAATGATTAGATGGAGGTTATCTTGATTTGTAACCTAATTAATTTGATCTTGTAAGTCCGTAGGGGTGTTTGAACACCTAGTGCCCTAAAACCGTCTGGTTTGGGAGTCATTGACCTAACGCTCGACCTCATGAATCGCTAGAAAGCTTAATAGATCAACACATTGCACTATACTTCCATCTTTGATCCTCAATTAAAAAAAAAAAAATTGAATGAGTGAAAAGAATAAGCGCACCTAGAACAATAAAGCTTTAATAAAAGGTCCATTTTTTATCTTGATGATCGGTACTAGATTTGTGTGCTAGTTTGAGGGTAAGGATGTGATTAATTCTTTAGTTGGCTTAGATAGCAACACATTTGATGCCGGTCCACTCAAAAGGATTCTAGAGTTGTTTTTATTTGCATGATCATTTTCTTGATGTGTGGAGGACCATACTTGATTGCTTGATGTATAAATTTTGGGAGATTGCTTAGAAATGGTTGAAAAATTGCATACTTGAAGTAATTTTCTCCCAAGACTTGTTTGCAATATTGGTGCCTCTTTTGAAAAAATGAGCTTAATGTTTGTGGGTACCATTTCTGTAAGCCCTCACAAGACTTCACTCGTCCATTAGGGGTAACCTATGGGTTTAAAAGGCTTGTTGCATATGTTAAATGCAATCGTGTTCCCTACGAAAGTGGTGTTATCCATTTATTGTTTTCTAGATTCATACTTGTATAGTTTTTTATTTCATTCCTTTACTTTCTAGTTCATTGCTAGGGACTAACAATACTTAAGTTTGGGGGTGTGATGAACACTGAAAAGTGCGTATTTAAACCCCTTAAGCTTAGGCATTCTAGTACCTTTATCTATTTTACTTTACCGTTTTAGATTGATTTCGTATTATTTCTATTTTTAGGCACTTATCCCAAAAATAAGCTAACTCAGCCAAATAAGAGCTTAATTGAAGCAATTCTGGGATTAATTAAAGAAAGGAGCAAAGTAGAGAAAGAAGGAAGCAAATGAAGCCAAAGGTGGCAAACAACAAAGTTCGATTGATCCAAGTTCAAGGTTCGATCGATCGAACAATGATCGATCTCAGCACTTCAAGATAGATCCAAACCTTGACCCAAAAACATAAAGTTCCAAAAGTTCGATCGATCCAACATCATCCTTCGATTGATCTAACACTTTTGTCCTTATTCAAATGATTGATCCCATCCACAACCGTACCACCCACTAACCACTTTTTCCCTTTTCCCATAAATATCTCTCAAAAATATCTCGGATTTGTCTTTTTCCAAAAAGCTCAGCCAGTTGGATTGATCCAGCCTAAGTTCGATCGATCTTACCTACTTTCGATCGATCCGAGTTCAAGGTTCGATCTATCGAACTTCCTCCAGTGCGAAAAAGTTAAAATTTCATCTCATTGAAAATTGTCTTTTATCCAATCATTAGGGAATATTGTGTGCACGACAACTCATTTTGGGTGTCATTTTGACCTACCTATATAAGGATAAGGATTGCTTTTTCAAGGGGAGAGCCAATTTAATTTTCATATCATCTCTTGGAGAGGAAGTTTGGAGGAGAAGGAGGCTAGAGACACCATTGGAGACTCTTCATCAACAAGGAGCAGATTTCAACCATGGAATTAGCCCTTGAGGGTTGGAGCATTATCACCATGAGTGGCTAGACATCCTCTTGGGGCTAGAGTTAGCCCCAAGCATGCTTTCTATATCTTAATCTTGTGTATTATTGAGGGATTAGTGTTGTAATTGATGTTTTGACACTTTGATATATATAGATCTTGTTTATTCAATGATTAATGTGGTTTAATGCTTCCAATTGGTTATTTCATTCTATCCATATGTCTATGTATACTTGAATAGATGTTCATGTGCTTATCTCTAGATTTTGTGTTATTGATGCATGTCTATGTGTATTGATGCTATAGATTTAGAGATTGTCAAAAGATTGCTTTTATGATTCTCTTGATGGTTCATGCTTATCTCTTGATGGATTGTGCCTCTCCCCTAGCTTATTTTTATGCTAGTAGTGTAGATGTAGTGTAGTTGTAGTGTAGTGTTAAATGGGAGGACAATCTATGCTTGTTGTTTGATGATCCAAGCTTTTGAATGCAATTAGCATATGTCTCTATCCTTGTGTTGTATTTGGATTGTGAGCTTATTGAAAGGATTAATGACTTTTTTTGATTTATTGTGTCTTTCACATGTTATTTAGACGACATATGCTTTATAGTTTAGATATATTGTGCCTTTCACATGATGGTTAGACAATACATGTTTAACTAGTCATCCTTGCTTGTTGAATCAACCAAATACACACACACCAATATTGCAACACACTATTTGTCCTCATTAATCACTTGTCAATGATATAGAAATGCATTGTTTGGTGGTGATCTCTAAACCCCAAGACCTCTTTCTCTCTCTCTTACTTACTCTTAATTGCACTCTTTTGCAATTACTCAGTTTAATTTAGTTGCTCTTTAATCAACCAACCAACCAATTGTTTGGTCACTCGACCTACTAGCCCTAATTGTGATTCCACGACATTGCTCGATCCTCACAGTCCCTTGGGACGATCCCTACTCACTCTTGCTACGTTAGTAGTAGTGTTGGTAGTGGTTTTTATAAATTTAAATTTAACCCAATAGGCTTTTCTCGAACCGCACATTCACTACATCAATTTGGCGTATAATGAACGGCATTTACAATCCGTCAGCTAACCCTAAAAATAAGAAAACATTCAAGTTGTGAGGAAGAGGTTTCACAATCTCACTCATAACAATTAAAATACCACCATTTAAGTACAATTTGTTTCATGTATCAACCCAACCTAACCGAACTATGCTTTCAGTCAAAATGTTGAACACCTATCCGTAGAAAGAGGTATGATTACGGATAGGTGTGTTTAGCACATATTATACTCGGCTCTTATGTTAAATTAATCCAATAACAAAGTACAATGCATTAGTTTAGGAATAATCTTCAAAATTAACAAATCAATATCATGATATTTTTCATTCTAATAATAAAAGAAAATCAAAAACCAAAATTTGAAAATAAAAATATGGCAGAAAGATTGAATATATCCTTTTGTGCATTAGACAGATTGTATTTCTATGTGAAACAAAACATCCAGGATTTCTCAATGGGTGGGCTAAATCAAAATATATCAACCAAAATCAACTGTTGTTTAATTCAATTTTAGTTAACTAACAATGTTTCTTTAGACAATTGACTGATTAAGGCATAGAAAATCCTATTTGGGTAATTAATAAAAAATAATAATAAAAAAAATTACCAATTTATTTCTAAATAATTCACCACTCAGAACCCTATCTCATATTTTGACCAATTTACTATTCCTATTTGAGAATCTACTAGTGGAAGCAGAGAGTGTGGTAGTTCATGACAAGCCCCTTCCAACACACTATGGAATTCACTCAAAAGCATGCTTTTTGTAAGTATTTTAAGTTTCAAGAAGTAATTTTAGAGCTTTACCCTATGTTAAGTACTTTTGCTTGTCAAAGTTCTTGTTATGATTTTTTTTTTTTTTTTCTTTTTAGTTCTGAAAAGATTTCCATCTTCAAAAAGCTTGGCATGTTGATAAAAATTGTTTCAGATTCAATCTCTGCAGATTTCTAATCCAATTCAGATTCTTTTTTTTTATTGCCCAGATTCAAATTTTCTTGTAGACATAATTGACAAATATATATATAGAGAGAGACAGAGAGAAGTTATAGAAATAAAAATATATATATTTCTTTTGCTGAAATAAAATATAGATTACCGTGATTACCTCAAAATGCAATGCAAATTTTGTTACTTTATATTGTAAAAAATATATATATACTATTTTAAAAAAGATCATTAAAAATTTCACCAAATAGGATTTAGTTTGCAAAACAAGAATTACAGACCTTGATTAGTTGATTTAGAAAAAAAATAAATAAATAAAAATAAAACCCATACATACAAGTTAGCAGTTGCAGAGAGAGAGAGAGAGAGGTGGGCTGGGGCAAGCTTGAAAGTTGAGAGACAGCGGTTGAAGCTTGCGAACGGCAAACCCAAACTGGAACAACAGGTGATGGAAACTGAAAGATCTGAGTTTTGATTTTTTGAACAATTTGAAATGATATGCCGGTATGGGTTTTGAACTTTTGATTCTTGCACAGAGATAGATAAACTGCAATATATGGGTTTTGAACTTTTGATTCTTTGTAGATTTTGTAGTTTGCAGGAGCAGAGAGAGAAAGAGAGGGGGGACAAGTTCAGAGTTGAGAATGAGAATAGAGAGATGGAGGCAATTGGGGAGTCTGAAATGATTTGCCTTAAAACCATGTGTTGGGCTTTTGTTTTATTTTTTTGAATTGTATGTCATGCATCATCCTCGGGGGTATATTTGTATAATGTGACATGGAGAGTGCACTTTATAAAGTCTTGATGGGATTCCTCCATCCACGTGAATGACTTTTTTTTTTTACTAAAATGACTTTTTGACTAGAATTCACTGATCTATACGGTGAGGAGAGAATGTAAAAGAGGGTCGATAATACTCAGAATATGATGAAGAAAAAAAATTAGGTTGATTTTATTTGAGGGTAAAGTGGGAAACATATTAATGCCACATCAGTTTATATTAATGCCATAATATCTGATCTTTTCATTCATTAAAAAGCCAACCTTCAAACAATTTTAAAGACTCATCAGTTTATAAATACATAATAAAAAAATAAAAAATAAAAAACATACATAATACCTAAAAGAAATTTTGAAAAGACAAAATAATTTTAAAATCGAAGAGTTCGCAGAATTACACATCAGTTTATATTTCTTATGTACTCCCTTGTGTATGATCTCTTTTTGTATGATCTCTTTTATGATCTCTTTTTTTTTATGAATTTTTTTTTTTTTTTTTTTTTTTTTTTTTTTTTTTTATGATCTCTTTTTGTATGATCTTTTTTTATGATCTCTTTTTGTATGAGTCTTAGTATGATCTCTTTTTGTGTGTGGGGTATTTGGAAGGCATGGAATCGGGCGGTCTTTAAAGGGATTTTATGGCGACCTGAGGTTGTGGTGCAAAAGACTGTCGTTAGTTTTTGGGAATTTTATGATGCTCGTTCCCTATGTTCTTTTTTATAGCCTAGTCCGACTAATGCTTTGTTTGCTATGTGGTGTCCTCCTCCAACGGGTATTGTTAAGTGTAATTTTGATGCTTCTTTTTGTCAGCAGTCTTTGCAAGGGGGTGGAAGAGCTATTTTTCAGGATTTTCGGGGAGAAGTTCTTCATGCGGTTATTTTTTGTCCATTTCATGCTGCTTCACCTTTGGAGGCGGAAGCGTTGGTGTGTCAGCGTGCTATTCTTTGTGCTTTCCAATTGGGGTTTTCTTGTTTATGGTTTGAATCGGATGCCAAAGTTGTGGTGAATGGCGTGTTAAGTGGAGTGCATTGTCCATCGGAAATTGCTTCTTTATGTTATGATATACAACTGGACTTGCGGAGGTTTTCATCAGCTACTTTGACTCATGTTCGTCGCAGCAGTAATATGGTGGCTCATGCTTTGGTTGCACTTTCGAAGCTTGGGCTTGAGTCAAATCAAATGTTGACGTCTTTACCACCTTCTGTAATCCCTTTTGTGGTGGCGGATGTTAGGTCTTAGTTGCTTTTTTTTTTTTTTTTTTTTTTTTTTTAAAAAAAGAAAAGAACAAAACACTCTTCATTATAAGTGACTTCACAATGATCGATCAATTTTGATAATCACAGTGGCCTCTCATTCCATGTCTAAAATAACTTCAGACCTCAAACACAATTACAGAAAAAACCTCCCTCATTTCTTAAATAACCTACAAGATTCACTTTAATCTAGGGCTGCAAGTTAGGCTGTCCTAACCCAACGTCAACCTGAAATCGGGTTGGATTAGGCCAACCCGAATTATACTAATATGGGTTATGGTCATAACCAGGACCGAATATTTTTGGGACAGGGCGGGATGGGGCGGGACCGGGCGGGTTGACAGGTTGAGCTTTTTTAATTTAAATTTTTTTTATTTTTTTGGGCAACTTATATATATATTATATATATATTATTATATTATTATTAAAAAACAAAATATTTTTAGGTTAAATCATTTCAGCCTGCCCAATCGTTTCGAACTTGCGCTCTCTCTCTCTCTCTGTAACCATAAACTACAAAATCTACAAGAATCAAAAGTTCAAAACCCATATATTAGAATCAAAAGTTCAAAACCCATATCAGCATATCATTTCAGATTGTTCAAAAAATCAAAACCCATATCTTTCAGTTTCCATCGCCTGCTGTTCCAGTTCGGGTTCGCCATTCGCAAGCTTCAGCCGCTGTCTCTCAACTCTCAAGCTTGCCCCTTCTCTCTCTGCAACTACTAACTTGTATGTATGGATTTTGTTTTAATTTTTGGAAGGAACGGTGGCGGCGGTGAATCAGCGACTGAGGGCCAAGGACAGTGGCGGCGGCAGAGGGATGGCAGCAGCAGCACAGGGGACGGCGGCAGAGAGAGAAAGAGAAAGAAGAAAGAGAAAGAGAAAGAGAAAGAAGAGAGAAAGGAGGAAAAAAAATAAAATTATTATTTTTTAATTTTGGGTTTTGGGTTGGGTTCGGGTTGAGTCAGAGCACAACCCGAACATGAGTCCGATTTGTGAATTTAAAGTCCAAATTTCAAAAAATTTGGATTGGGACTGGGTTGGGCTAGGTTAGTCTGCCCAAGTGACAGCCCTACTTTAATCAACCAAATTTTAAGGGTAAATTGGGAAACATATTAATGCCACTATTCCCAAAATCATATGGTTCCTCATGATGCTTCTAGCAGCTTGCTAGTATGCAATAAAAAAATTTATTTTGTTAATTTAGCAAAGTTTACCAAAATTTAAGAGTAAATTGGGAAACGTATATTTTTTACATTGATTTTCCTTTTCAAAAAAGCTAATTATTTTATTATATTTCAAAATACAAAGAGGAAAAATTAATTTGGAATGAATGGGAGTCAGTTTGTAATTAGAAGTTGCTTATGTGTGGTGTGTTTCACAATTTCAAAAGCTCCCGTTTCATGTTCGAGGTTGAGAATTTGAATAAAAAAGAAATAATAAAAATCTCTTGGACCAAGAAAAATATACGTTGTGATAGGTATATCGTAAATCAGACACATAGTAATTGTTTATGTTCGTTGTCTATGTTCATGCTTTGCATGTTGTGTGGCCTAACACCATCATCATAAAAAAATAATAATACATAAAAAAAATAATAATAAAAAAAAAAAAAATCTGAATGGTATTAAAATGCTTTAGACACTATTGCTAGAATTAAAACGAGAAGAAATGTATTTGATCAATCGAATTGTATTAAATTATTGTTTCAGAATTAAAACTAAAAATGATCTTTTTCCTAACTTTTGAAAGACAATTTAATACTTTATGCTTTTGTCTAAAATCTTATTAAACAATATTTAAATTAAAACTCATATAACTTCATTATTTCAGCCTACACAATTTTTCCTTGTACCAAAATAATAAGAGGTGTTTATCAAGCCTGGGTTTAGATAAATATAAAAAATATAAGATTTGAATTAAAATAGAGATTCTTAAAGTTAAATGTATGAACATTATAAACCATTCCTGAAAAAATTACTTCTCAAAAGTATTAATTCACGATATATCAAAATTTAAAGAAGACAATCCAAGTTTTAAGAACCTAATTTCAACTGTAACAACAGTAGACTAGCATGTCCTTATTCTGCATCTATTGATGTCCTAATTTGCAGGTCGCGGAGATGCGGCCACGTGTACAAATCTCAAAAAAGAAAGTTCCCAAAAATACCCTCCAAACTCAACATTATTACTACAGTTGTGTCACCCCCAAAATTACCTCTTCCCAATCCCCAGTCGGACCACCTAAAAATCTCTTCTGGCCTCAACCATTCACCAAAACTACTTGAGATTCATGGATAATAGAGCAGTGATATATATATATATATAAAGTTAGTGAGGCTAATTAAGGTTTCAAGGTGTATCAGACCCAATTAAAGACAACAGAGAGCTAATTAAGGTTTCAAGGTGTATCAGACCCAATTAAAGACAACAGAGCACATTGCAAGTGTGCTATTTTATGCATGTGGTTGCTGTTGTTTACTTTACTTGCTATATTGAGATATCATTGAGGCTTTTTGTTATTAGCTTGGAAAAAGCAAGTTTTTTTCCTACTTGGACCTATACTAATTTTTTCATACTTTGGGCATTTTACTAAAGCAAGTGTGCTATTCAATGCACGTGATGACTGAAAAATGAGGGTTTAAAGGGATGATGCTCCAATGTATATGGCCACTTAGTCTGAAAAAAGGTCAACAAGTCTATGTTTATGCTCATCTTTTTAAGTGTTAATACTATTTTTAGTTCTTACTGCTTCCTTCCTGGTAACGGGCATACTGTTGGTATTTTTTTGTGGGAATTCATGTTAAGGGGATGCTGAATGTGGTCACTTAGTCTGAAAAAAAAAGGTGAACATGTCTATTTTTTTGCTCATTTTTCACTGTTAATGTTCTTTTTTTATCCATGCTGCTTGCTGCTAATAGGCATTGTCTTTCTCATTTTTTGTTGGAATTCATGTTGATGATGACTGGAAATTGAGCAATTATAAAAGTGGATGATGCTGTGAGGGTTGATGATGACCGGAAATTGAGCAATTCTAATAGTGGATGATGTTGTGAGGGGTTGCTTAATGGGAGTAGTTGTTGTTTTTAGTGTCCAAGTTGTTTTAGTGGGCTTGTTACATTTGATACCATGTACTATTTTATATTTTTACCTCTTGTAAATATAATTGAAGAGTTGTGTATAGAGATTCAAAATAGATTTATTTTTGGAATTATTTTGGCTCACTGCTATGTATTTTCGCTATTGTTTTTATGCCCAAAAGATTAATTTTACCATCTTTGGGACATGAAAACAATACATATCAAGTGCATGAAGTATTATTGGAGATTGAACAGGTTATGCTTTAGAAATTTGAAGTGTGTTTGCATGTGCGCGTGTTTTTTTTAATGAGATTGAATTAATGTTTTATAGTATGGTTAGAAATTGGGATTGAACATATTATATGAAAGTTCTGGTGGATTGGTGGAGGAATTAAACTATATTTTTAAAGTCAACTTACAAAATAAAATCATGAAAGTCATCTAATCACCCACTTTTGTGTGTGACCCACTTGTCCATGTTAAAGCGTGTTCGACCATTGAACTTAACTTCTTAATGGAATAATACTTTCATCATTTTAACATGTAAGTTTTGTTTGTTGTTAGATAAAGTGACAAAAAAATTAGAAGTAAAATTCAATTTTGGGGTTCAATGTAACAATAAATCAAGTATACAAATGAGGTGCATGAAGTATGGCAGCTACTTATGTCTTTCATTACACATTGTTGAGTAAATTTGATGATCAATGTTAATTCTATGAATCAACGACTGGAACTACTATATACTTTGGACATTTCAAATAATAACTTTTTAATATAAATTATTCATCTCAACCATGGTAATTTTTTTTAATAACCCGGAATGTCAGGGATGGCACGAACCCTTAGGGTTCCTCAACAACCTGACTAATCCCTGCAAATTCTGAAAGGCGCCTATCCACCCGAGCCGAGTAAGTCACGGCAGGGGCAACAGTGGTTAGTCACAAAGAACACCTAGCGGACCTTGAGCTTGCTAAGTTCCAAAATCCAGCGAGCAAACCGCTGGACTATATATCTTTCCTCATAAGTGTTATAGAAAAATAAATATTTGGTAATGTATAGATATATTAGTAATGTGTAGAAATTGGTAATGAACTATTATATATAAATAAAAATTAACTTTAATATATTTATTTTTTCAAAACAAATCAAAAACAGGTCATAAACAAACATGTTTTTTGTTTTTGTTTAAGCCAGACTCTGCCAAATATGTTTTATTTTCAAATTTCTTAAAACAAAAGATGTTGTCAAATATGTTATACATGTTTCTAATTTCAAAATTTCCACTGCATATTTGCGTTACCAAACATATTTGCATTTGAAACTTAAAACACTCTACAACAAAACACTTGTTTTGCTTTGGAATAAAACAAAACACAAAAAATACAATGCATACCAAATAGAACCTTAATGCAAAATAAAAATATATGATTCATGTAACCAACTCAAGTCACTCAAGTAGCTGAGAAAAGACTTCTTGTTGTTGTTAGACTCAAATTCTTAACCGCAGAGTAATATATTCCTAAAACCAAATAAAGTTCGAAGATATGAAAATAGGGAGAACTCAAATAAAAGAGCTTGGGATTGAAAGATTGGTATAATTGGAATTAGGTTAGCCTTGTTGTATTTTAAAGAGAACCTCAATCAGTTTTGAATTGCATCCTTAAATTTGAAAGCGCTAAAATAAATAAATAAATAATCCTATTATACGAACATATTTACAAACCAAATATGCAGGAAAAATCTTTAGTTAACATGCTTGCATGATGTATGAATTGTCACGCACAGCTAATATGCATGGAAATTGTGCCATGGAGGCGATACGCATTTCTGAGGAGTACCATGCATGGCATATATAGTAAGTTATGTAGAGAATTGTGCAATATTTTGTAGAAAATTGTGAAAT